TACGACAAAGGTTTCATTATTGCTTGACATCTTTTATAGTTTTTAGCATACTTACTAAAATGAGATGACTTTTCTTGGAAATCAATTAATGAAATTTTTATTCTTGGATCCTTTAGGTTTTGAAGAAGTTTTTGCAAAAATGAATATTACTTTTAGAAGTATTTATTGTAAAAAAAAAAAAATGAACATAGTATGAATATTCATGAATGTCTTGATGATAAAAATCCTTATTTTTATGCTTAATATTTTCAAATTGAATACTTGCAAAGACTTAAGCAACAAATCAATAAAAAAAGTTCACTTAAGGATGAACGAGCAGGTGGCAGGGTGGGGATAGAGATCAACGTTTGCGGGATAAAGAGAATAATTTGATCACGTGTGACTACTAGTACATTTGGCATTATGTCGTAGTCATTTTCGTCATATTTTTCAAAATATTTGATATTTTTTTGCTAATAACTTTTTTATTAGTCTGAAAATGATATGGTTTTTTTCCATAATTACGTTTCTAAATATTTACACTTTCACTTCAATTGTTTTTTAAAAGTTAATTTTTGGTGAATCAATATAAAAAATGTGAGAATATGAACGTTACTGTTGGTTTTTCCATAAGTGTAATTCCAAAAGAAAGAAATCAATTTTGAAATCCAATATTTCAAAAATTTGTAAGTTAATCTCTTATGAAAGAGCGAAAATCAATTCGTGCATAGTAAATTTACTTATGAGAAAAAATTCAACTCTTTATCTTTGATTTTAAAAGTTGATCATACATCCTTAATATAAGACACTGTTAGATATAGCTAAATAGATATTAGTGTGTATATCGATATAATTTCAGACATTAATAGTATTTTACTATTATACGCAGAGAAATGTATAGTAAAAATTACCCTGAAATTTATGGTAATTTGGTGACACTACAAGGCGAGGGTAAAAATTACTATATACATGGTAAAAATTGCTTCAAAACAGTGTAAATTCTTTAATTTTCAGTTATAAAACTATTACCGTTTGTATCAGTGCTATTATTATCATTGTGAATAGTGATAACTGATTTATTATTAAATAGTACAATTGTTAATGATATTTTTTATCTCGTTAAATAAAGCTTGTTATTTGCTTTCCAAATTATTCAATAATTTTGATAATTACTACTTTGGAAAATCAACTTTAAAAATATCTATGACAATTAAACTTTTACAGATTTATCTATTTCTCTCTTTACCCTTCTATTAATTCGCGTCCTCATCAATCTCTCACAGAAAGGCACGCGCTCGACCACTTTCTCAACGAGATTTAAGTTGGGGAAAAAAGTTAAAAGATTGACTGAGTCTATTTACTTTACTTTTCGTAGCCCTTACGTAGCTTGATCCGTGGAACGTGCAATTAGGAGGTAAGTAAAGAAACGAGTCTTTCCTTTTTCTCGTTAAGAAATCCCTGACCACGTGGTCTTGATGCTAGTTTAGAAGGAAATTGAAAGGGCTTTTGATATTTTTTAATGATTATAAACAAAATTTATGGCTAATGAAACTAGTTATTAGGAGTGATTACCAGAAGAACTGAAGAAAATTAAAGAAAAATTATTAAGTAGTTAATTACAAGAATTGTTGAAATTTTTTTCATTTAATGGGTGGTCTTATTGATAAACATCAAAATTAGAGCATTATTAGTAATATTTAACTCCACTTCCTTCCATTAAACATCAGAATAAGTTTTTTTTCATTCAAAAAGATATAGTAATAACAATCTGAACATTTGCAATTTTATTTTTTCAAATTTATTGATTTTAGATTAATTGTACGCGATTATCAACAAGTAAATCAGTAAAACTTATTGGAAATTAGTGAAATTTTTTTTATTAATTACCACTATTTGTAGTTATAAATATAATACTGTCTTAAATGGTAATATATTTTCGCAGACAATCAGTGATGAATCATGTAAATCAATGAAAACTCATAGATAATTGATACTAAAACTTAACACTTGTTCAATCAATGATTGACTAAACAAAGGAAAAAAATATGTGATCACTGATTCATCTGAAGAGGCTATTGATTACGGAATATTAATAAAAAATCTTACGGATTGTTATCCTTCAATTAACTACGAAATAATTTTTTAGCGGTTCTATTCGTTGGTGAATTAAAAATTCTTCACTGATTATTAATAATAGGATTAATCTGTATACACGGAAAGGTGAATGACAGAATAAATGAATTATATAATTAGTAAAGCGTAAAAATGTGCAATTCCATAGAAAAAATAGTAAGGCTTTCGATACTTTTCTTAACAAGGAAAAATGTTGTTGTTAATTAAACTTTAAATATGTTTATACTGTTAGTATTTATTCTTCAAAATGGCCAGTTTAGTTATAAACAATTTAATTGTTTAAATGAGTTTTTAGCTGAACTATTATAGATATAAAAAAAGAAATAGTTTGAATAAAAAATGTTCCTTGTTCTGAAAGGAACAACTTTTATTTTAACCGTTCTTATAATAATTGTATTTATTAACTTCCCATTAGGAAGTTATTGTAATTGGGTCGATTGGTGAAATTGGAATTTTCATTAAATCTCCACGTTTCAAGATATTTGCAAGCATACTGACATATTTTTAGAATGATGTACACGGAGAAAAAATTCCAATAAAAATTACCGTGCTCAGCACAACAATCCACGCGCAAATGTCAATTCCCTAAAAAATTAAGACAACCTTCAAAGAAAAATTAGTAATCCTTTTAAAATTTTTATTATAGATTCAATATTTATTAAGAAGAGTAAAAGTAAAAATTCTTATGCAGCACGGTAATATTCGATAAATATTAATTTTTATTCAAACTTTAAACAAAAATTAGTAAGTGACTAGAAAAAAATGAGAATCTGTATATAATTTATTATGATCCGTGTGGTAGGAAAAATTCGGGTGCTCTCCTATAATTTTTTCTATTCTCGAGAGTTTCCGTGCTGGGTCGGGAATCTTCGAATTATCGGTCCAACACAATCTTTCTTTGTATTGTAAGACCGTTCACACAATCAAAAATATAAGCCGTAAAACGTACAATTTAAGACGTACGCGTGCATACTAACATCATAATAAGTTAAAAATTGGTTTGTACGCATGCGTACATCTTACGGCTTTTGTTTTTGATTGTGTGAACACCCTCAGTGCTATAGTTACTTTTTCCATATTGTAAACAAAGATGACATTCATATTTTTCGTTACGATTCAATATTGGCGGCAACACGTTATATCTTAACAATTTATGATAAGCTTAAACGAATTGACGCGGTGGACTCATGGGTAAGCGTCAGCTTGACACACGATGGGTCGCGGGTTCGAGTCCCGGCCGAGACAAAAGTCATTTATATGATTTTTCTCGGGCCACCGTGAGCGGGAGAGGAAGATCTCTTCGGAGAGCCGGGTGGTTGTATCGACGACACAGGTTTTCTGCGTAAGATCCCGATCGTAGGGATAGGGGGGGGCAGTATTGTAAAACGTGTGCCGTATTTCATTCCAACGAATTAATTAGTTAAGAAAGTTAATTATCAATGAACCTAATTTATTTATTTATTTGTTTATATAACCAAAAAAATTATCACTAAACTTAAATAAAATTGTTTGTCGGTTACGTAGTTATCACAGCTAACGTTACTAAATTTTCAGGTGCTGTGGAACACTAAATTTTCTGGTGCTGCCAAAGTAATTTTCAAAAAACTGAATGATACATTTTCTTATGTAACTTATAATTTTTGTATGTTGATCATTACTTTTCACTTTTCAGTAAGTTTGAACTCACATTCTTGAGCAGCACGGTAATTTTTGTATGGATTTTTAAATAAAAATTAACGGAATTTTTTCTCCGTGTATGTATGTAGGACGTCAGCATTTTTTTCGTTTTCGATATCTTAAGAACGAATCAAGATATCAACTTCAACCAAAATTAATTCGAAAGATATTATTATAAAAAAGATCTGAGAGAAATTTGAACGAATTTGATCGAGCCGTTTTTTTTATAACAAAATAACTAGTAAAAAAATGAAAAGATTAGCTATTTAAAATACTTTTAAGCCAAACAATAACAATTTCATTTGAAAATTAAGTCGATATTGACTATACATTATTGTTCACAACCAAATATGACTCTTAACAATTACGCATTGTTTATAACAATATGAATTTGTTATAAACAATTAAAAATTGTATCTATTGAGTAAGTAATGTATATATCACATGTATTTGGATGTTTTCAACAAACATTGATGACAACTATTTAAATTTGTTACAAACAATTACTAACGGGAAGTTCGTCGTGTTGGCACAAAGTTTGCTCAGACCTATTTTTTACATATATATACTAATATTTCGAAGTTATTGTTATTTTATTGCTAACAAATGTTGCAATAAAATATGTAATAAAAAAATGTATAATTTTCAATTGATACTAACTGTCTCGATATTCACTCGTTTACCCTATAATTATTACTATAATTTCAGTCATCTGTCCTTAACCTTTTTTTCGTGTAAGAAGTTGAAAATAAAAATGACAATTTTAATTGATTAAAAAAGATTTTTTAAAGAAATAGTGATTAATTATATACATCTTTCATTCTGTAACATCCAGAAAAATGAATAATGAAAATAAATAAATAATAATTTCCATATAATTTTATGTTACGACTTTAATAAGCCAGTAGTAGTAGTAGGGAATGATGTGACGACGAGGAAAAGGTACCAAAGAAATTTATCGATGAGATAATGAAAACACGAGGCCCAGTAATGACGGGTTGTCGTTCCATGTTTCGAGTGTAACCCAAGGACTTCGTGATGTTTTACCTCCTTCTCCGCTTCTCTATCCCAAGTCAAGAAGTTTGCTTACAAGTAAAACCCTCTAGCGAGCATTTGTGAGAAGGCTCTCCAGCAAGCCTGAATGTGATGGCGTGCTGGAGTTCGTGACGACGCCATTACTGCCTGGATGGATGCATTATCTTACCTTCATAACATCCTAGAATGCTGCACTGGATGTCCAATTATGTGTGGCTTAGTCTTTAGAAGGGATTTTGTGTATTCACTAGAGTCGTACATATTTTTGGTCATGTTTTATTCCTCTCAAAAGACCCATTGTGTCTGTAACAAAAATCATTATTATTCACTAATGATTTTATATGGTTATTACTTTGTTTAATAAATGTTGCCTATTAATTTCTAAATTCTATTTAAGCTATAATGATAATAATAATAATTATTATTATTATTATGCAATGTGCAGAGGATGTTGTTATTGGCAATTACTGTTGAATTCCAATAATTTTAAATAAATAAATAAATTACTTGTTAGACTGTGAACACCAAAATCCAACAGATATTAAATTTACGTTTTCAGTATGAATGATTCAACACCTTCATGTCTTTTGAAAATAAGTGAAAATCAGTTATAAAACCACAATGTAAATCTCAGTTTTCCAAAATACATTATTTTAATGCAGATAAGTGTGTTAAATATGACGTCACCCATTTGATTGACATTGTAGTTACTTTTAACGCATTTCTAAGTGTGTAAAAAGTGACTACAATGTTAATCAAATGGTTGACGTCATATTTAACACACTTATCCGCATTAAAATAATACATTTTGGAAAACTGAGAATTTACAGTGCAGCACTGTTTAAATTAGTATTATTTTTTTTACTGCCAACATTAGATATTTACTGCTATATTTTAGAATCTTTGATTAGATTTATTTGTACTCGACGATAGTTATTGTTGTCACTGAAATTTAATAAATATGATTTAAAAAATATTTGACTTCTAGACTGAAAAAAGGTGTATCTAAATGAATTTTATAAATTATGGTAAAATTATTTCGATTATAATTTCATTAAAAACGTCATTATGAATAAAAAACCATTAATTTATTTTTTTATGACAAAGATTATTCTAATGACTTTATTTAAAAAATCATTGCTAATAAACTATTATTATTGAAACATTTTTAATAAGATAATTTTATAGAAAACTAATTTTTTAATTTTGACCACTAACAAAAGATTGTTCTGAAACTTTTTTTACGCTTTTCTGTCTCTAGATAACAAACATTTATTTTTTTGCAAACATAACGTTGATTATTTTTTTCGAAAAATTTTTATGATGAAACAGTTTTAAGTGAAAATGCAAAAATTGTTGTATTTGGTAAAAAAACTTAATTTCTGATCTCAAACACTCCACTAGAAGGTTTTTAAAAAAGTTCCGAAAGTTTTTTGACGATTCCAAGCCTTCTAAAAATAAATCAGTAAAAATTATTGCAAAACAATGAAAATTCTCTAATTTTTAGTTATAAAACTATCACTGTTTGAATTAGTGCTATTCCCTAGTAGAATATATTTTAATCATGCTTGAATACCAAAGAAGCCCTTATTAGGAATTGAATAGGTTAACGTGAATTAAGAATTACCAATCTATGTTTGATAAATTTGTTTTTAGATGAAATAAGATTCGCTTAATTTCGCACTACCCAATAACTTCCCAATTACAACCTTATGAACATAACTGAAACGATGTCTTAGTTAGTCATTAATTAGGAAATGTTTATTTGGTCCTTATTAGGCTTACAAAAATTATTATCACTGAAAATAACGAATATTCACTAGTTAGTTTCTAAAAAGAGCACAAAGTAAAATCAATAATTAAAAGATACTTTGATATAATCAATCTAACATTGTAAATTTAAATCAAAAAAAATCATCTATTAATAGATTACTCTGATTCCAATCTCATTAAAAAGTCTGTTACGTATCGACTTAATATTTATAACACCATCGAAACATTATTTAAAAATTAATGAACAATTTAAATTTCTATTGACAAAACGTAAACCATTTTTTTTTATAAATCTAAATCACATCAACCTTTTTCTTTTTCTTGCTTTTCTCCTCTCACTTTACTTATTTATTCACTCTTTAATAAACCACAGTTACGCGCAAATAGAGGTAGTTACGATCAATCGAAATGACTTTTCAAGTGTGTTCCCACTTAACCGCACTACCCAGCATGGGACGTTTGATTTCCTACGGGAAATTTAAGGCTTTGCCGGCATTGCGATATACATTGGATTCATTTTTTTCGCTTTTCTATCTTAATTTGAAATTTATTATCCAAATACATTTTTAAACAAAGAATCATTTGACAGACATTAATAAAAAGAATAATTTAAATATTTTTTGCTTTATTTTTCTCCAACCATTTATCCACTATTTTTATCATTATTTAGTTTTAAACAAAAAAAAACATTCCAACCCTATCATATATTTGATTACTCCTAAAAAAATAGCCATCAAATAAATAACAATAAAAATAGTTTAAAGTTGATTTGAGTTACGAAAAAAAAATATCTAGGATATAAAAAAAGAAAAAGTACGTGACAATCGTATAATTGGGCATATGACAAATGGTATCACGATCTAGAGCATCAGTAACGAGTTTCTCTCCTTCCTCTTACGCGTTTACCACAGGTGGTCGTTGCTCGCTCTGATAGTGTATTAGGCACGTTCTGTAAACACCTCGTATTATCGTAGTTATTCTTAGATTCCCTCTAGCACAACGCTTTCACTCTACATGATGTTAGAAAATTGATTATTACAGTTTTACGACAGCTTTACCTATAAACTATTTGATCCGAGATTATTTTCTTAAATTTCCGTAACGAAGGTTTTATTCTATCGTTATTATTATCTTTTTTCTTAAATAACCGATCATTTATTGAGATAATTTTTAAGCAGGTTACTTGACTGTAAAAAAATCTCATAAACAAGAAATAATATTTCACTGAGTATCACTAATTATGTAACGAACTAGATGGTACAGTCTAAGAAATTAAAAAATTGTTTCACTAAAAATATACTCTGCTAGATATCACTGAATACTATAAAATAACTTTACATCTGAAAATAAATCAGTAAAAATTATTACAACAGTGTGAACTCACTGATTTGTTTTTATAAAAGTATCACTATTTGAATCAGTGTTATTATTATTACTGCAATTAGAAAATATTCACTGATTTATTTTCAGAAAGTGTAGAATTAAATTCGAGGAATTTATCACTAATTTATCAAAAATTTTGACACTGAATTTTACACTAATATCACTTTCTTTATGTTGAAATAATTTTACTGGCATTTACAATCAAATGTCGTACAGTTATTAGGATAATAAGATATTTTATTGCAACCACTAAGTATCACTGAATCTTAATAAAATGTTTCTGAGGCCATATTTGATATTTGAATGTGGCATTAAAAACTAAGTAAAAAAATAATATATTTATCAAGATAGATTGTAGAAATGCTTAATTAATGAAAACGATGTTTGCCAAGTGTGCGAAAAAAAATTACAAAACAATTTATTCGCTGACCTTGAGAAGATTTGATCTTAAAAGAATGAAGATTGATAGGACCGCATAATTAAAAAATCAATAATTAAATCCAAATTCAAAACCGAACAAATCAAGAAAACCAACGAGACCACCCAATGATGACCTAACGTCTAATTTTCTCCAATCTCAAAGCCTTATACCGTTCTCATCCGCAACCTACGTGATATATTGTATTCCGCGTGTCCTCAGGGGTAAAAGACTTGAACAACATACAGACTGAAGCCACGGTGGGTGATAATTAAGATGGACGCTGATTTGCCGATAGCAAGGTCCTCACGATGTCAGACCCACCCGGTTAGTTTGCGATGGCATAACCGTCGCGTTCCAAGTCCCAACACTCACGATTCAACATCATGGTCATATAATATAAAAGACCTACTACGGAAAAGCATCCTCTCACGCTTCACCATCACTTGAGCAATATGGCGGTACTTAGTGCACACCCTCTCTACATACGATTTATCAGCGTGAAGGAGTTTGGTTATACACAGGCATATAACGAAGCGCTACTGCAAGCTGATGTTTCTTTTAGTCATTTATTAACAGAATTTATCCCCTTGAGGCATAAAAGAACAAAGAAAGGTGGAGGCACGAGCTCAACCCGATGACTATTTTTCTACTATTGAGAATACGTGAATTATTATTATATCGTGCTCACAGTAACGGAGATCTCTCGTGCAATGCCCCATACTCAGTCCCAAGGTTTATAATGCCCGGTTTTATAATGATTATGACATTTATCAAGAGCGTGAGCAAGTTGTCGAGGCTTTATTGCAGGAGCTGCAGCATTGGATCATAGGTTAGTGTTTCTATTTTAAATTCGGCTTTTATGGATAACTGAATCCATTTTTTTTAAAACTCTTTAAGATCAGTAAATTTATTCTACTTAAAATCAATCAGTATGATACAATAATATTCTTATTAACAGCGTTGATTCGAATTATTGATAAAATGAATAAAATCAATTTTTCTCGAAATCAATATAAAAAAATAAGTGATAAACAAATGAATGGTGTTAATTTCTATGTTTGATTTGTTATATCATCACTTGTGGACTGGAATACAAAAAAAAACTCAATTACAATGATTTTCACTGATTCTTTTTCTATCTTTATCAGTTTAGAAATTAAGAGATTCACAGCATTTGTGAAGGCTTTATAGTGGATAAATAATCATATTTTAATTGATCAAAGAATGAAAGTAAATTTTTGAGTGTAAAAAACTGATTAGTGTTATCTATACTAATTTATAAATTCCAAGTGCCTGTCTGTCTGTTCACGCTAATCTCCAAACCGGCTAATTTGATGGCAACTAAACTTTGCAGACATGTAGAGGGGGTTGTCGGGAAGGTTACATGCTACTTCTTGTTCATATAAATAGTTCATAAAAATTGAATTTGTTAAAAACGGGATCCATGCAATATTATGGAATCCTTCAAATAAGTAATTATTTCTTTTACTGAAAAAAAGTTACTAACCGTGGAACATAAACTAACACAAACTCTATTTATTTATAACAATCGTATTTGTTATAGAAAATTGAAAACGGGATCTGTGCAATGGATTTAAGTTCTTTCAACAGAAAATTTCTTCTTATGTTAATAAAAGAGTTACCAACAACGTAACACGAATAAAAACGGGCTCTTATTGTTTTTAACAATTGAATTTGTTATATACATTTGAGAACAGGAGCTACG